AGAGGCAGGGGGTGCAGACAAAGCAAGAACAGGACAGCAGCAGGCGGACGCACTGCCTCCGAGTCCCGGACCCTGGCTTCCCCGCCGCCAGGGCTGCGTGCGGGAGGGGAGGGCCTGCAGTCACGTGGCGGAGGCGGCTGCCGGAGGGGAGGTGTCTTTCTCCCTGGAGCTGCGGGTGCCTTTCCATGCCGGCCGCTCGCCTCCCAGAGCAGACGGAACCAGTCAGCGCCCACAGCCTCCTGGCGTGGGGGGGGCGGGGGGGCTGCATCTGCTCAGCGTGCCCTGTGCCCTGTGCTCCAGCAGGAAGACTGTCCCACCCTCAGACAAGTCAGCCAGAGGCCTTCTGTAGAATGGGAGGCCGGCCCTTCCCGAAAGGAAGTGGACTCTGGGTGCTTCCCCTGGGCCCGCTGGGTCCTGTCCTCCGGCTCCTTTTCCTCTTTATGAGCCGCAGCTCGCGTGACCTCGTTCCTCCCACTCGTTCCCTCCGAGGTCTCGATGGCGCTGCCGCGGGTGCAGGTTGTGCCCCTTGCTTTTCCCAAGACGCAGCCGCCTCCCGCAGAGCCTCAGTGAAGGAGCAGAGCCCGAGGCCTGTGAGAGCCCCGGGCCGCGAGAGCTGGGCTCCAGTGACCTCTCACAGTGCGCATCCCTGGGGGGCGTGCACTCCCGCCATCCTCCTCCTCAGGGAAACGTGTGCTGCTTTTCACTGACCGCTTCCTCCAGGTGCGCCTCGTACCCCGCCATGCCACTGCCTCGGTGGCCCAGCACCTCGCCCTCGCGAGCTCTCCTGTCGGCCGGGCTGGGGCTCGCAGCTGACTGAGCTCTGACTGTTCTTCCTCCGCGACAGGGCGAGTCGGTGAAGTACTTCCTGGACAACCTGGACCGGATCGGCCAGCTGGTGAGTCAGACCCGCCCGCGACAGAACAACGCGGCTCCGGTGGCTGGGGCTTCGCCGGACTGAGGAGCCGGCTGCTGCGCCCAGTGACCATGGAGGGGACGAAGCCACGGCCGTGCGGGAAGGGCCACCCGTTCCCTTGAGGGAACTCCACTCCTGCCCATAGACCGCCAGTCCTGCTGACTCACACGGGAGGCGGTGTTTCTGCCGAAGCCCTTCGCCCAGACCCCGTCAGGGAGGCGGGCATTGTGACGTTTTATTGTGGAAGATTCAAACGTGTACCAACACAGAGTTAATGAGCCCTGGCTGGTCTGGCTCCACAGATAGAGCGTCGGCCTGCGGACTTGAGGGTCCCAGGTTCGATTCTGGTCAAGGACACGTACCTCAGTTGCAGGCTCTGGCATTAGGCAACCAATCGATGTGTCTCTTTCAAAGCGATCTTTCCCTCTCTCTGTCTCTCCCCCTTCCACTCTCTCTAAAAATTAGGGGGGAAAGATCCTCAGGTGAGGATTAACAATAGCAGCTAACTAATTAATTAATTTTAAAAAGAAAGCTGCTTAAAAAAAACAGTCCATGAAACCCCAGGTTGAACAATGATCACTTGTGATCGGTCTTGTTCCATCAGCCCCACCCCCTCCCAGGGACATACCCATCGTTACATTATTTCATTGATAATACGTGAGAGCCTGTCTCCGAAAGGTAAGACTTCAGAAATCAAACCCACACACCACCGTCGCTCCCGGAAAACGGCAGCCATTCCTAACGCCAGCGGCCGAGGCTTTCCTGGCTTCTCGCGTGCATCCGTGTGGAGGCCGCCACTCCCGCCGCCAGTCAGCATCCTCACAAGCCCACGGGCAGGTCCCTCACTCAGACCGCTTCCCCTGCGGCTTCTGGCTCCGGTGTCTGCCCTGCGGATTGGTAGCTGGTCCTGAGGCGTTGCTGTCCCTGTTGGGTTTGGGGAGACTGTAGCCTGAGCACCCACCTGGGGGTCACGTGGGTCGCAAAGGGGTGACTCCGGGCCCTGAGACTTCCCACGCCCGCCTGCCCGCAGCTGAAGCCCTGAAGCTCCCCCTCCAGGAACACCCTGGAGGTGCTGGTTCCCAGCGAGGCTTGGGATGCATTAGCTCTGGAGGTTAGGGGAGTAACGGTAGCTGTGGCGCAGAAACAAAGAGACGGCTGTTCCTGTGGTGAAGACCGAGGGCAGGTGTTCCCCGGTACCTGCCCTCCCGTGACTCCTGCGGGCGGCAGCATCCCCCCGCCCGCTGATCCCGGCACCGCTCGCGTTCTACCAGCCAGTGTGGCCTTTGGTATTTGGTGCGACTTCTCCAAGCCCCTGGGACAGTCTCTCCTCCCAGCCCCTGTTCCCTGCCCTCTCTAAGCTCTCCTCCCCCTCCCTAAGCTCTCCTCCCCCCTCCCGAAGCTCTCCTCCCCCTCCCTAAGCTCCCGACCCCCTCCCTAAGTGCCTGCCCCCCTCCCTAAGCGCCCGACCTCCTGTCTTGCAGAACTACTTCCCCAGCAAGCAGGACATCCTGCTGGCCAGGAAGGCCACCAAGGGCATCGTGGAGCACGACTTCGTGATCAAGAAGATCCCCTTCAAGATGGTGGACGTGGGCGGCCAGCGGTCCCAGCGCCAGAAGTGGTTCCAGTGCTTTGACGGGATCACGTCCATCCTGTTCATGGTGTCCTCCAGCGAGTACGACCAGGTGCTCATGGAGGACCGGCGCACCAACCGGCTGCTGGAGTCCATGAACATCTTCGAGACCATCGTCAACAACAAGCTCTTCGTCAACGTGTCCATCATCCTCTTCCTCAACAAGACGGACCTGCTGGTGGAGAAGGTGCGCAGCGTGAGCATCAGCAAGCACTTCCCCGACTTCCGCGGCGACCCGCAGCGGCTGGAGGACGTGCAGCGCTACCTGGTGCAGTGCTTCGACCG